CAAGTTGCTGACATGACGTTCCGAATAGTTTACACGTCCCAATGTCTCTTCGTAAGCAGATTTTTAACTGTAATGCAGCCAGGTCTGTCTGGGACGACCGGGCCCCATAGTCCACTCTATACGCTGATTCTGGGACAAAAGATACTTGACGCAGAGGGTCAGTATTATCGCACCTCAAAACATGACCTAACAATTTAGATTTCCTTTCTTGATGGTAGATGCTGAATGGTATGATTTTCCGGTCGTCCCTTCTCTTAGGATAGGCCGTCGCAGTTGCGACTTCAAGAAGTCTCCTGTTGGTATTGGCGCGGCTTATGAACGTGGAGAACATACCTAACATTTTCCGTAAGCCCCTGTATTCCACAGCCTTTGTAATGTGAATGGTCTCTAAGCCATAGAGGAGTTTACTACGTATAATAGCATCAAATACAATAAGCTTCCACTTGTTACTCGCTTTTGTCGCTTTCCAATAGGCATTTAATCTAAACCAGGTGCGGCGAACTTCTTGCATCTTGTGCAGAATTTCATGCCGTATGTTTACATCCCTTTGCAGCTCATTGCCAAGGTATGTGGCTTCGTGGGATCTGGTAAGAGGGGTGCCATCCCCAAAGTGTATACAGCCATCATTGTTCATGGAGATAGCAACACACTTATCTCGATTTAGCTTCAGACCATAGATCCCTACCTGTAGCTTTGAAGATCTTGTAAATGTATTTTATGGGAATAATGGGATAACCTGTTTTTCCTGGGGTGGAGGCGGGTTGGGGCGTAGTCAATGTGTGAGTAAAGATCCCATCATGGCGGCAACTTCTGGGACTATGGTAGCTCGCGGAGGTACCCCGCAAAGACGTACTCTGCGTGACAAAAAAGCAGGAGAAAAGTTAACCCGTGAAGAAGTACTCCACAAGTCAAAGAGCAACATCCCACATCTTCAGACTGAGTGCTGTCTGGCCCGCGGAAGTAACTGACACGCGGGTCATTTTTTTCTGGGGAGGGAGGGACAGGCAGGAGCTAAAGATCTCTATGGCAACTACCTTTAGGAGTCATCCTGTGGAGGTAACCTGCGGAGAGGCACTCCCCACGAGAATAAAAAATCCTCGACCACCACGTGCCACATGTTTCTGCTGGGGAGGGGGAGTATTCGGCAGAGGTATCCTGCAAAGAGGTGCCCCGCGAAAGAAGAAACAACATCCTTGACAACCTCTGGGAGGTACCCTGCGGAGAGTTCCTCCACGAGAAAAGTAATAATATCTTACATCCTAGAACTGCGGGGTATGTTACCCGCGGAGGTACCTGATGTACGGGCTGGGGTGCGTAATGGATGGTTTTGTGAGATGGAGCCTGGGATCACACTTTACCACCTTGCAACAACCAATCTTGAGGAAAACCTTCAATAATCTTCGTTGATGTCCTCTCTTTGTGGATATGCTGGGGTGTTGTCCTCGGTCATCTCACTGACTTGGTCAAGGTCTGGCCAGCTGCAGAATGCCTTGAGAGCTGTGTATCGCAAGCCAAAGCTCCCAATCCCCGAACTGCTTGCCTGGACAAAAGGACGCCATAGAACACGACCTGGCGCAAACTAACTTGAGAATGGAATCGTGATTGTGTTACGGTACCTTCTGCATCCTTCTCCGCGAGCAAAACCAAACGGTCCTACAACAGCAAGAATTCGTCTCGTCTGTAAAAAATTGGGTGAGCAAGCCTCATCATCTTCTGGAAGAGATCCCGGCACTGCCCCTTGAACAATACAACTTGAAGCATAACAACCAGGCCAGAGCTCATGAGTGACCGGCAGATTTCGGCCATGGCAGATTTCAGGCCTTTTCTGAAATCAACCTTCGAAGGCAATTCCACCCAGCAGGCACCGAATGAAAATGGAACAGTAGCACGACCTCCGGAAGCCAATCGTCGGCAGTGGAGCCCGCAACACTTGTGATGTAGGATCCTTTTCCTCGGACGTGCAATGAACCCAGCGGCCAAGCCCAAGCTGGCAGTGAGCACCGGGCCCCACAGTCTTTGCCTTGCAGCTTCCCGAAGCTCAACCACCTGAATGACCAGATCTGCATCACCAATCAAAGTGACAATAGCAGTACATAGGCCACGCAGTGGCATTGAGCTCACTTCAAATGTCAGCACGTGTGCACGTGCGTGCAAGGACCACGCCAAGCTCTCCATCTCAGGTTGGCCAGCCTTTGCAAAGCAACGCAAAGTGCCCCTCTCTCTCCCTGTGCAACTATTTGAGCTTGGACCCCAACGCGGTCTATCATGTCGTACAGCAGAGCTACCTGGACCTTGCTCGCGGTTGCGCAAACGTAGCCTCTCTTCACTCTTCTGACTTGGCGGCAAACGGTTCCGGATCCACCAGAGCGCTTGCCGGCACTTGCCTCAGCTCCAGACTAGAACATCCAGCCCAAAAGCTTGGCTAGAGTCTGTGCCGGCGACGGAGATGGCTGCCAGCAATTCATCTGCCTGGCCAAATAAAAATCAGCTTCTGTACTGGCTGCTACCTCATTCAAGATCGTGCCTCTTCCACGGAAACACCCAGTCGCAAATGGCCTAGAAGGCTGCCAAGCAAGTCTCGGCCTCACGTTCGGGATCAAGCTGTGGACTGTTCTACGCTTTGGCAGACTGAAGCACCAGGCTGACCAGAGCTGCCTCAGCCTGCTTTGCGTGTAGCTCAGTGAACGCGCATCTTGGATCACAGCTTCAGCCTGTTGACGATTGGAACCGTCGGCGAGATCGAATAAACCTTGGCCGCTAATTTGTCCTTTCGTACAAAGTCAACCAAGTAAACGAGCGACATTTGCGTCTTCTAAGTTCACGGCCCAGCAATGAGCCCAATGTGATCTTAGAGCCTGCCATGAAGAGCCGCTGCCGCACCTCAGCATACCCCACAGCCTCATGCTCTCACCACCGCTGCAAAGGAAGGATGCTCGGCGAGCTGCTCGCCAAAGAAGGGCTGCCACCACCTTAGCCAGGAGGGCAGCCGCTTGTGCCCAGCAAATCTTACTATAACATGATATGAAGGCCAAAGCCAAAACTTGTGGAGCACTGTGGGCCACAGAGGTTCTCCTGGACGGGTTTGTAGCTGGACGAGGCCTTGGCGAGTATCAGAGGGCCATCACTGCTGCAAGGCAATGACCAGGGCACGGGCGGCACATTGCTCCACGACAAGGGCTCTGCCCTAGAGTTTCCGTTGCATCAAATCAGGTCAAGTGGTTACAGCTTCTGCAGAAGCCATTCGGGCCTGCCAATCGCAACTGCACCACTGAGCCCAAGCCTTGGCCTGAGTAGATTCAGTAGATTCGCCTTATAGACTTGACAAGTCTCGAGGATGTCTATGCCCGCCACAGCAAAGTGTTCGGCCTTAGTTGTACACGGTACGCTGAAGCCTACTGATCTGTACAAGCCATACTTAGCAAACTCTTTGACTGACTAGAACCATGCGAAAATGCTGAGGTCACATCAGCAAACGTCCTTCACCATCCTAGCATAGGCACCGGGCAAGGTTGTGAAGGCTTGACAACTCGGCAGCTGCGGAAGGTGCTGCCATAAGGAGCCTTGTCTGTGAGCTCAGAAAGCCATTCCATCCTGCAGTGTCATGGCAGGGTCAACAAAGGAACCCCTGTTCTATCTTGTGCCGCAGCAGGTGTCATAGAATGCTCAAAAAAAGCTGCGCGGTCTAAGGCAAAGGCTGGAAGTGCGTCATGTATGGTTCAGCCTGTGAACTCACAATGGTCTATGAGTCAAAGTTTGAATCGTTATCCACTTTGCCTGCATCAAAGCCACCCGAAACTCTTGCTGTGAAGCTCGTGATCCTGTGACTCTCTCTGACTATCATCTAGCGCAGAAAGTGAGCGAGCAGCAAGCTTCTGACCAAGCCGTTGTAGTGCTGGTCCCAGGCGTTTGGGGTCCTTGAGTCACAAAAATTGGGGAAGCTTGACTCTGAAAAAGGGCAAGGGCTTGGACTATCTGCTCAACGCCAGCAGCTTCTGCTGGTACCTCAAAATAACTAACCAACAAAAAATGCATGCCTCTGCAGCTGTTCCAGGGTTCCAGCTCCCATGGCACATGCAGCCTCTGCTGCTGTTGCTAGTTGAGATAATGGCAAGGTTCCAGCACCTCAAGGAATGCTGCAAACGAGCCAGACTGCAGCACAGCAGGCCACCTTTTCACTGAGGACGCGTCCCATGCCGCGAATGTGACTGAAGATCTGCAGTGTTGCAGCAGCAAAAAGTAAGAGAACAACTTTGAGGGAAGCTCACTTCTTGAGGCCAGGACTGGCTGCACTTCAGCCCGAGATATTCCCAAGGGCAACACCTGAAACAGAACTCCAGTGCTGACTGAGCCAAAAGTGTTTATTGCAAATTCACGGCCCCGGCGCTAACAGCTTCCATCACCTCCTCAAGCGTGGCAATGTCAGGGCTGCGGGCGAAAAGCCGTAGCACCTGCAGGCATGTGATCTTGGTATTGCATTACCTGCAGCCAAGAAGTAAGCCGCGGACATCTACTCCAGGCCCTGGTGCCTAAGAGGCCATCTTTCCTTTGCAAAGGCTCTTCCAAGTTCTGTTTGAGGCTTGTGCCCGTGCACGGCCCAACAAATGCTGAGACCTCAAAATGTCACAGTTCCATGTGCTGGAATTATCACTTTACATGACCCAAAACTGCAAAATCAGGCATGAGCAATCGGAGAAGTGCGGCCTCAGCTCTTCCTGCTTGAGTCATTCAGGACAAATCTGTGCAGCATACGGCAAGCGCTTCGGCAGGTGCAACAAGTACTAGATGGCTAGCTGCAAGTCCGTACTGGGGTTGAAAAGTCGCAGGACCTGCTCCAGCGCTCTGGAGATGTGCTGCGTGCCTGCGGTATGTCTGCTTGGGCACACAAGAATGTGCAGAAAGGCATGCAAGCAATTTGCTACGTGTATGATGCTCAGTTGTGTCGGGTGACACCATGCTACTCTTCTGAAGAGGCTTTTGTGGGCAGAGGTCAGTGCTCGAAGTCAGTGCTTGAACACGAACAGGGAATCACAAGAAGCTACTGCTAAAAGGCCAGGGGCAACCGCTGGACTTGAGGAGCCAGAGAAAGAAGCCTTGGTATCAAATGCTGCCACCTCATCTTTGCCCCAAATCACTCCATTCCCATCGGTATCCTTGAGTGCGTAGAAGTTACCTTCCTCATTGCCGACAAAAACGGTTCCTTCAGCATCTATCGTGGGTGCGCTCCATCCATTGGGCAAACACGCCCAACGCACCCCTCGCATCAGCCGGCCGGGTGCTCCTTCCATATCACCGGCCTGAAGCAAGCCCGTCTGCGTGGGACCATGGAAGATCCATCGAAGGCCACCCGTTTCTGCATCGTAAACATGGACATCGCAAGTTGCCCCTATATGTACTTGTTGACATAGAGGCATCACAACCGACAACCCTTCCAGGTTCTTGACCTCAGATCTCTAACCGTCACCAAAAAGGCTGCCAAAGCTTCTTGGGACCCCTGCGCTACCCAAACCTTAAAAACCGTCAGTACTGCTGATACGGAAGCAAAGGACTCGCCCAACTGCCGGAGCGTTGTTAGGAGGTCGCGGTGTGGTGATCGACCAAAGCAGCTGCCCATCAGTTAGGTTGTAGGCGCTGAGTGTCCCGGGACTGTATTCACTTGTTGAGGCTTGTGGCATGGGATGGTTGTTGTTTACAGCGTACACCACGTTGTTTGGGCCCACGGCTGACCCGCCATCAGTCCAGGTACCGTTCCGACCACCTGCCTTCCATAACAAAGCACCCGTGGATAAATTTATCCGGTACACCTTGCCAGACATGTCCTGGAAAACAAAATCGTTGTCTCCTACGAACAACGGTAAGAAATTCCAAACAGGAGTATCTGGCTTAAACATCCATAGCTCATCACCTGTGCTCGCATTCAGAGCTTGGATCCTCTGATTGGCCTCCCCATTCGGAGATGGCTTGCGCCAATCGCAAGCTGCAAGCGCAATGCCTGCACGGACCATATTGAAGCCATTGTCCTGGCCAATATTTTCGGCCACACGAGTTTTCCACATCAAGTTGCCAGTCTGCATATCCAAAGCGAAGACGTGACCGTGCGTGTCACTGCCATAAAGCAGTCCATTGTATAAGGACGGAGCATTCATCACTTCTGCGGGAAGGGAAGGGTACTCCCAAAGCATCTTGCCATGCTGGTCAAATTTGCGCACCCCATCTGCTGCTGAAAGGTAGATGTTGCTTTCAGCATCGATAGCGGTACCATACGTCAATGTTGCAAACCGTCCCAGTGGGTGATGCCATTCCCAAGCGAAAGTCTCTGCCAGGTTGAAGGGGGCGGGGTGCTTGGCCACGGCATATTCTGGAAAGTTACCGCGGCCTGAAGCCCAGTGGTGCTGAGCTTCTCCTTCGCTGCCACGGCTTGTGGTGACAACATGGGCTTGCAAGAAAGAGAAGCCTGCACTTTCTGCGTCTTGGCAATCTTCTGTGGCAAGCGTGTGCGCGAGGGCACACAACAAAGCAGCAAGCGAGGTCGATTGCATGTTTCGGTACGAGTAGAATTGCAGCTGAGTGTTTTATCAGCCAAACCCTGCGTGCATACACGCAACAAAGCCGCAACACGCTTTCTCACAGAACCAGATGGAGCTATCATCCAACCATGCTCTGACACATCAACAAAAGCTAAGGCTTGCACCCAGCTGCTCCTGACACTTGCGTAGGCTGATGTGGTAACGTGGCTCAGGGGTGGGACAAACTCTTCATGCCTGCTGGCGCGGAAGCAGCCTGACCAGCCTGAGTGTGACTGCATGATAGAAGTCTCACAAAGCAGGACTGCTTCTCGATCATTCTTGGTTGAGGTGCTTCTTGAAACAAAAAGCATAGCCTGCGCGTTGCGCGCAGAGCGCACTGCTTTTTCATCTCATCTCATCATTACGCTCAGGTTTGGAACGAACCCCTCCTCCTAGTGCACTTTTCACAGTTCTGCCGCTAAAGTACGTTGATCAAACTTCAGTCTTGGATGCCAGCATGTGACAAAAGTGCTAGGAGTTGAAAGCGTCCGGCATGGTTTTGGAAAACAAGTCTTGCCGGCTCCGAATTGTCGCTGCTTCTGGCTACACCCAACAGGTCTGCCCCAATCGCAGGGCCACTGCTTTCACGTGCTCTTTCCTAGGGCCCAATGGTGTCGCGCAGACATGCCCAGCAGTTCATGATTGGGGAAAATGATCTTGCAAAGCACCTGTGGCAGAATCTGCGCCTGAACCATCAGTTGCTACTGTTGCTGCCTCAAGGCGAATCACCTCGCGCTTCCATTCGGCACCCCTCCACGCATCTGGCTGACCTGGGTTTCTTTTACTCGGACTTATGGAGTGTATGAGTGAAATTTGCACCTTTCCGCCAAGGGAAACTTCCTGTCACTTACAACAGCTAAGCCGTGCGGCTTGCGCCTTGGCCTTCTCGACAAGCTGCATCACTTGTTGCTTGACCTCCGCATGGCTGCATTGTTGCAACATGTCGTAGCAAGCAAATGCAGAGAATATCCCGGCCTGATCCATCATTGGTGCTGCCTTTGTCTTTGCCACGGCAAGGGTGTCGCTGAGGCACGGTTTCAATCTTGGTTGGCTCATGCAAACCAATCGAATAAGACACGCTCCTCATGAATAGTAGCATGCCCACTTCCTGGTCTGGGACTTTTGAGCCCTACAAGTACTTGTGCTGGTCGAGCGGCTGGGCTGATTTGTAAGCCCCGATGCCTCACACATCTCAGCTGAATCTTATTAGACTTTGGGCGAAACTTGCCAAACCCAAGCAGTGTAAAAGGATGCACGCAGGCAATCACGCCTGTGCCCAGCATGAAGCCGAAAAAGCAGTCCAGCATGATGCAAGTCCGAGGCTGAGCTTAGGCACGCTGAGCTGCTTGAGCACGAACACTTGCAGAAAGTAAATGCATACGCCAATGCAGGCATACACGCACCTTTTCCCGTAGTCAATGCTAAGTGTACCACCGTTGGGGCTGGAGCCATCGGGGAGTGAAGGCCTCCCCTGAGCCTTACTGGCTGTCAGTCAAACATTGTTTGGCTTTCCCTGGCAGCTTTAGTTTCGAGCCCTCCATTGCGAGGGCGCCCTGCTGCAGGCCCTGCAGTCTTTCTGTAAGATCCCTGGCACATGTTTTCATGCAGCCAAACTTCCGTGGCCGCAGGCCTCCTTGCGAAGGATTTAGCGGGCCAGGGACTAGCCTGCCGCAGCTGTGCCGGCACCAGAAGGCATGGCTTGCTCTGGACAAGGCAGGAAACACCGGAAAAAGGCGAGTTCTGGGAACGTGACGGCACAGGTGGCCCTCCAGCCATGCCAACGGGAGCTCGCCCGACGCCCTCACATGCGGCCGTGTTTCGACAGTTTAGCTGCGCAAAGGCACATGGCATGGTTCAACCAGAATCACAGCTGAGACCCCAGCTCCAGCTAATGTTGCTCCAGGCTGCCTTGAAGCATTGGATGCGAACTAGCCCTGGACTGCGCGCTTAAGATTTACCATTCTCTTGCAAAAGTCAATTAGAAAGCTGTGGCAAGCCAAGTGGCGCAGTTTGGTCAAAGCCTTTCTCCAATTGCGACAAAGCCTGTCAACAAGTCGTACGAAACCTTCAAGACTTCTGAAGCAGCTTCCAAGGGTCCATTCCCTTCTTCTATCTGGCTGCAAGCATTGATGGGCTCCACCTCCGGAACGTCGACTTTGCCATCTGGGCCTGGGTCTTCTGCTGAGGAAATTCTATTTGCCAGGGCTGCATTCCCAAAAGCAATGCGGGTCTTTTTGCTAACTTTCAGCCATAAACAAGCTGATCACTGCTGCAGCTGTCATTGCACGCATGAGGGCAGGAAAATAATGTGATTTTTATCATCAGCATTTGCATGAGTGACTAGGTGGCAGGCATTTTGGAAGCAGCCAAAGCAGCTTCTTGTGCTGCTCCTCACTCTGAGGAAGCAGGCCTGGAACAAATCATCGGTTCGCCCGTCTGATGCAACATCTAGAGGTCACAGCATTCTCTTTCTTGCGGGTGCAATATGTAGCAGTTGGCATCATCCGTCAAGAAATGGAAGCCAAAGGTTCTGACGCTGCACCACCGCTTGGAAGTCGCCTGGGCCACTTGAAGATTTCCAGAGTTCTTTCTTGCTCAGATGGGGATGTCCAAAAAGCAAGGCAATAACGATCTTAACAACAACAAGCTGATTCCCTATGGCAACCTAAATGCAATTCCGTTGGGCCGAGCACTCTCGTGGACAGCAGTCACGCCATCTTTGCAAAGGAGTCTATAAATTGCGATCCTTAGCGGTTCAGTCAGCTGTGTGGCTACGCTGCCACTTCCATAGCACGAAGCAAGCATGCTCAAGTATCAGCGGCAAACTTCTTTCTGTACAGGCTGCGGGATGCAAGTACGAATCTTCTCTCTGCTGTGCCGAACTTCTGCTTTTTCATGCTAGCCTCAGGCAGCTGCGTGTCTGTTCCCGTGTACGACGGGGACACTTTGGGAGCACCAGATGCCTGAGGAAGGCAAAGAGATCAGAAGCCTCAAGAAGAAGGTGCTGAAAAGTGACAATTTGTTGCGAAAAGTGTAAATGTCAATGTGCGGAAAGTCTCAGCTTTACTTCCACCGGACTTGGCTCTGACGTAGCTACGGAAAGACGCAACTGGTAAGTGAATACCTGAAAAATGGCCCTTGCAGATGAGAACCCTGCAACTTCTCTTCTGTTGCAGCACTCGGCAGATTTAAAGATAGGGTCACACACGTATCAGAAAGTAGGCAAAGAAGATCTCGGGAAGCTGCTCCAGGATTGAGCTGCTCCAGGTGCTCGTCGCGGATTGACCTCGTTTAGTCTCTTCATGCTGGATTCTGTGCAGCTGTAATCTGCTTGCTTTAGGGTCTCCTTCAAGCCTTGCACTGGTTGCAGCAAGGCGTGGACTTCACACCAACTCCGGCGATTCGCACGTTCCAACGACACGTCGCAGCCTCAGTGTGTGCTTTATCATGCCGTGGTTGAAGTCCATCCAGGACGGAACACAGGTGTCAGGCCAAGCATGGCGCACAAAGTCGGCCAAGCTCCACACATTCCATGTCTCCACTACACCCTCGCAGCCATTCAGCTTGGCACCCATCGCACTTTGCAAGCCTTGCTCGCAGGTACAAAAACTCTCAAAACGGAACTTGAAGCAAGTAACCTCCATGCTGAAAGCGTTGCAACAGTCAAGCTGTGTGATGTATTCGCATACGACCTTTGAGCTCTCGACTGTGAATGCGTACCTGGGCACCTGGATACACATCTCGGGCTTTGGCCTTGGCGTCCCACACGGCCCAATCAGCAGATCTCATTATCAGCGTATTTCAACTTGTGCGTCCCTACGCTTTGATGCTGCAAAATCACGCATGCAGGAAGAAATGCCAAGTCAAACGGTGAGCGACTGTATTGCGTTTGCTACGAGCCTGCCAATTACACTGAACGTCTTGCAGCATCTTGCATTATGCAAAGGGAAGTGCGAGCATGTGATTGTCCAGCAGTATCACTAATGCTCAGCTTGTGGCATCATCCTCAGTCATGGCCTTCTGAGCAAGTTCGCCTAACAGCAACTTGGCCCAGTCCTCCAACCGAAAGGCATGCAGAAGCTTGTCATGTTTGTTGCGATGATGCTATCATGAATGTGTGATCTCACACGTTTGGGACAGAGAGAGTGGTAGCCCCAGGAGAGATGCCTTGGTTCTTGAATGCAAGTGGCATGCTCAAGGGTGCTCAACTAGTCCTCCAACTGCTGCACCTCCGGAAATATTCCTGGGCCACAGTGGTTTGAAAAGGTTTCTGCTGCCAATCAGCTTTGCTTGTGCTGCAAAATTGCACGGTCACCTTTGCTGTAGGTTCTTTCCCCGTGCTATCTAGCCGACATGATTCAAATTTGCTTGTATGCTGAGGCCAAGACTATGCAACGCGTCGCCGAATAAGTCCACGGGCACATGGCTAGAAGATCCCTGCAAGAAGATTCGCACCTGCAGCAAGCAACCCTAGCTTGCCAAATTGAGTTTTCAGATCTCGCCATGCTTACATGAAAAAACTTCTTCTGGCCAGCACTTGAAGTATTCACAAGTTGCCAGAGTCTTGTGCTCAAGCACTGATGATAAAGCCTACTCCTACATCTGCTGCTATGTACAAGGATCGAGTTTCTCAAGACTCGTCCTCCCGTCTGCCGTCTGTCTGTGTCATTTCGACTAGAGGTTGCGCATCCTTCACCATGCAAAGTTTCTGCAGCAGTCTCAGGCAGGGCTGGTTCGTCATGCTTAGTACCCAAGCACGATTGCCATTAAGGAGCCCAGCACTCGTCGCAGGTCCTCTTCACACTGACAGCTTCTTCATGTGGTCCAGCACAGTTTCGTACGAGCTGGTTATCCTTTGCTGATCACCCCAAATTTCCTGAATGATTATGCTGTGCTACGATGTCGTGCTTAGATCTGCTAGATTTGTGCAAGCAGGAGTCACTTGAAACTTCTTGACAGCTTGCTCTTGTTGGAGCCCAGGATTTTTGTCCGGATGGTATTGTAAAGCCAGCTTCCGATAGGCCTTCCGGACCTGCAATCTCTTGCACATGGGTGTCGGCACGAACATGCAAAAGCAATGTCAACTAGCCGTTAGCCTGCTCGTGGCTGGCCGAGACGTCCAAACCCAACCTGATGAATCAAAAGTGCAGAAAGCTAAGCAACTTTAGCATTTTTTAGAATCATTGGTCTTTTGTGCCATGGGGCTCGCGGAAGGAGGCGGCGACTTTGGCCGAAGGTGGAGCTGGAGCTGGACCTTGGCTTTTGCGGGGGCGGAGGATATATAAAAAAAGACAGATAAGGATCAACAAAAAAAAATCTGAGGATCAAGAAAAAAACAAATAAGGATCAACAAAAAACATCGTGGATTTCATAGTAAAACTGGTAGAACGGAGACAAATCCGGGGATCAAAAAAAACGAAAAGTGACTCAAAACTAATGAAAACCTACGGGAATTTGGAGGATCAAAACAAAAACAAAACTGGGATCAAAAAAAACAAAACGCTGGTGAAAACTCGTGAAACTCTTGACAAATAATGCAAAATAACCAAAAACGCTTGAAAATTCATGAAAAATGATGAAAAATGGTGAACACATGACGAAACGGATGAAAAAATGTGAAAATGATGAAAAATGACGAGAAATGATGAAAGATGATGAAAATTTACAGAAAACGATGAAAAAGTATTGGAAAATGGTGAAAAATGGTGACAAATTGTGAAAAATGGTGAAAATTTGTGAAAATGTTAAGAAATGGTGAAAAATGGTGAAAAGATGAAAAGGATGACAAAAGGTGCAAACTGGTGAAACATGATAACAAATGACGAATAATTATGATAAGTGATGGAAAATGA